TGGGTTGTGGCTTCATTTGTCCCCCGAGCCTTCTGTGCCCAGCAGGCTCCCACTGTCCCCGCTGTGCTCCTCCCACCCAGTCTAGAGCCCAGGGCACTCTTTGCCGGGAGGTTGGAGGATGGAGGCTAAGGTCACCAGGTGCCAGGCTGGACGGAGCCCTGTGCCAGGTATAAAATAAGCCAGCTGTGGGTTCTGAACACCTGCCTCAGGTGTAGACACACTCCTGATTGGCTGAATGAGAGATCGAAGCCTACGGGGCAGCTCCAGGGTTCTACTGATTACCTGCAGGTGTATGCATGTGCACGCGGCTCCTGGCTCCTGCTGGCATCTGTGATGTCACTTTGTGATCCATGTCGGAGAGAAAGAACCTTCTCTGTGGCTGTGAATCTGAGGTCACTTGGCCTAAGGAGCCTGTGAGGTGACGTTGTGCACCTCAAGTGTAGGCAGAAAGCCTGGGTGGGGGTGGGGATGGGGAGTCCAGCCCTGGGACTTTGGCAAGCTGCCCTCTGCTTCTCTGGCCTGGCCACACGGGGGCGCATGCCCCCACCGCTGTGAGCTGCTGACCTGGTGTGCCTTGGGGGAAACTCCAGAGTGACACACCTGTCCCTGTTGGCTTCCCCAAGGATTTGAGGTCAGCACCCGTGGTAATGACCTTAACCGTCAGGGGTAGGTAAGAAACCAATTGCCTTTCAACATGATAAACCCCAGCTCCAGGTCTTCCCCCTCACTGAAGAGGTGTGTGGTGGTCAGAGTCACCCCCAGAGTAGAAGCTTGCGTGGAGAGTGCAAGAACATGGCCAGACAAACGTGGCCTCTGGAGAGGAATCTCATGGCTAGCAGACCACATGGGGGAATAGCTTCTAACAACAGGGGGGGGGTACGGGGGGGGGGGGGTTCTGGGGGTTGAACTCAAGGGCCAGATGCCATCAGCCTTTTCCATGCAAGACTGGCATTCTACCACTTGAGCCACACCTTCACTTCCAGGTTTTTACTGGTTACAAGGAGATGAGTCTCAAAGACTTTCCAGCCCAAGCTGGCTTCAAATCATGATCCTTAAATCTCAGCCTCCTGAGTAACTACAATTACAGCCATGAGCCACCAATGCCTGGCCAAATATATATATATATATTTTTTGTCGGTCATGGGGTTTGAACTCTTTGGCCTGAGTGCTGTCCTTCAGCTCTTCAGCTCAAGGTGAGCACTCTACCACTTGAGCCACAGCACCACTTCCAGTTTTCTAGTGGTTTATTGGAGAGCAGTCTCACGGACTTTCCTGCCCGGGCTGGCTTTGAACCGTGATACTCAGATCTCAGCCTCCTAAGTAGCTAGGACGACAGGTGTGAGCCACTGGCGCCCGGCTATTTTTTTTTTTTTTAAAGAAACCTAAATAAAGGAAGGATCTGGGGCTGAGAAGGTGGCTCAGTGGTAGAGTGCTTGCCTTGCATGCCTGAGGCCCTGGGTTCGATTCCTCAGCACCACATAAGCAAAAAGAAAAAAAATAAATAAAGGAAGGATCTTGCAGAGCCCTTGGTGGTGCTGTGTCTAAAGAGGGGCAGAGGGGCTGCTGTGTGCCAGACTGCCCAGGGCCTCTGTGCATTGGTTTGGGGGTCCTGGTGGCCTGCTTTCTTCTCTCAGTCCCTGGAGCTGAGATTGGGCAGGCATTGACCAACAGCGTACACAGCCCCGGGGCTGGTGTGTGTTCCAATTAGACTTCAGAGACGACAGAGGCCAGAAATACTTTTTATTAAAACACTGATCATTATTAAAACACCTTGAGGTACATTAAATAAATACAACCTTTCAAGTTGTACAAACAGGTCTCTGGTGTCTTGGAAACCGTTTCCTGTGAATTCTGCCTTAGCAGCATCTGATAGAGCCGAGGGAGAGGAGATGAACTCCATTCGAAATAAACTTCCTGTAACGTGGTTTGTTGCAAGCATTTCATTTGTATTGTTCCAGCAGAAGGAGGCCATAAGTCCCAGTAAAGAAGACCCCCCCCCATTTTATTTGTGGGAGAGTTCGGGGGCGGGGGGAGCAGAGTTTACATGTTAGGAAGGGTAGAACATCCTTGGCTTAGCTTCTTAAGTCTCCGGGGCCCTACTTCAGTATCCTCACATCCACATCCCTCCCCAGGCCAAGGTCAAAGGGCAGTGTCCTTAGCAGCTGCCAGCCTCTTCTGGGGTCCTGCACGGGACCTTGCCAAACTAGAGAGCCACCTCATACACTTAGCTGGCCATTTCAGATGCCCACACCGGAAGTGCAAGCGCAGACTTCCGGTGGTAGAAGGGAGGCATAGGCCATGCGCAGGGAGTCATTTTCCCCCGTGTCTGAGGTGTGGTGGCCAGCCTGCTGCTGGACTCCCTAGTACCAGGACACCACTGAGTCAAGGACAAGGGACGTAGAGGGGACCAGTCAAGTTGCCAGAACATTCTCTAGTGGCTCTAACTAGCACCTCTGCCTTCTTTCCTAATGGCAGAGGCTTTCCTCATACCCTGGTGGACCACCTGAGGCCCTGGGAAAGCAGATCGAGGAGATCGTCGTCCTCACTATCCTTGCTGTAGGAGGCAGGAGAGTCTCACAGAGCAGCCTGAGGCTGGGAAAGCTGTTTGCTTGTTTTATCCACAAGACAGAGCTGGTGTAAGAGTAGACGGAACTGAGCGTGAGTGGTACGTGAGGCCAGTTTCTTGCTAGTCTTGGGGGACTTGAGGGCTCCCATGGCACCAGAGGGGAGGAGGCATGGCCCTGAGACAGGAGCCCGAGTGGCAAGCAGGAAGAGAGGCAAAGCAAAGGACACAGAGCACCGAGCTGGCTCCTCTGGCGGCGGAATCCCCTGGCTGGTGAGTGCCCCAGCTCTGTGACATGAAGCCTGGCCCCAAGGCGCAGCTCAGAGACACTGGCTGCTTGGACCCCCAAGCAAGCGGCCCTCCTACAGCTGGCTGCTCGCCAGATGTAAAGCTGATCCCTAGGCTAGAGCTGCCAGATATAAATCCTCTCCTCTGTTTGTTTAGGCTCAGGGGAGGCCTTTCAGAGAAACCATCAGTTCACTTTACCTGCAAGGAGACTTGTGGGGGGTGGAGGGGGGGAGGGAAGTTTCAAAAGTCCTTACTTGAAAGAAATGAGGGAATATATTTTCCCATTTTATCGTCTGACTAAAGTGCTCATAAATTTACCTCTAGTGCATCTCTTGTGGAAAAAGGAAGGCCGTCCACAGGCCTGATTTATATATTTATATATATATATATATATATACATATATGTATATATATATGTACACACACACACACACACACACACACATTCCAATCTCAAGGAGGCCACAGCCCACAGCACTAGAAAAGCTATCTTGCTGGTGGTAGCTGGCTGTCCCTGGGGAACTACCACACCGTCCTTGCTGGGACCCCCTGGGAGCCACACCCCCCTATCCAGCCTTCAAACACATTTTAGTGCCCTTAGCACCCTTCAGGGGGCTGGGGGGCTGAGGGTGGGGCATAGGGGGGAGATGGCAGGCATAGGCCACACAACAGAGCTGTGAGAGTCTTCTGGTGAGACACGGGGCAATGTGGACACCCTCTGGTCCACTCCACACAACAGAGCTGTGAGAGTCTTCTGGTGAGACACAGGGCAATGTGGACACCCTCTGGTCCACTCCACACAACAGAGCTGTGAGAGTCTTCTGGTGAGACACGGGGCAATGTGGACACCCTCTGGTCCACTCCACACAACAGAGCTGTGAGAGTCTTCTGGTGAGACACGGGGCAATGTGGACACCCTCCGGTCCACTCCCATACCTCTGTGCCATGGCCTGAACTCTCAGCTGCTTGGCCAAAGCAGGGGCCACTGGCCACTGCTCTGGGGCTTATGCTGATGGCTGCTGATCTTGATGGCCCAGGTCATTTCCATCATGGCAGAGAGTATTGTTCTATGACCACTGTTGGGGAGAAAGTTGTTGGCAGAAAGTGAGGGGACTAGGGGCAGGGATAGCCAAGAAAGTGAAAGGCACCCATTTCCCAACAGCACCCAAGCAGCACCCAAGGTAGGCTTGCTTGTTTCTTGTACAACCAATCCTGTGAGCATTCTCACTGAAATAAACGATTAACCAGCTGCACAACCAATCCTGTGTTTTCACTGACATGCATGATTGACAGCCTGCATCCTCCAATAGAGATGTGTCTGCTGTGGCCCTGGGGTAGGGGTGGGGGGAGGAACAGCTCTGGAATCATTAGCAGGAGGTGGTCGTTGACCAACCCAAATCAATGGGATGAGATCATATGGGAAGGGTCTCAGGATAGGTACTTACTATGACAGAATATGTCTGTTCTGGTTAAAGTACAGGAGATGGTGGAGGAAAGACATGCCACCAAGAGGAGTCTAGTGGGGAGCACAGGGAGATGGGAGGGCCCCTCCTCACTTTTCCAACACACCTGCTTGCTTCCCATGGGTGACTGGCTACAGTGATTCCCTCACTGGGTATTTGTTTGCACAGTCATTCTTGGGCAAAATGTTGGCCCAGGATGTGCCAAAATGTTCTATTTCCTTTTAAAGGAAATAATAGGCCCAGGTTGGATAATGGTCTCGTGGCACAGTGACACAAACCACACAGATGACTGGTTCCCTTACCTGCTGGCATCCTGTCTCTACTTAACTGTAAACTAAATCAGGAATAGAGGCAAATCCTGCTTTAACAGCCCTGACTTAGGCGGAACCTAGTGTCTTTATGTTCTATGAGGACCACCTGTCCCTGTGCTGGTATTCAGAAGATCTTCCTGGTATTCAGGAAGTGCTGGTTAGTTCAAAGTTACCGCACACCTCCTATAATGCCAATGGACACCAGAAAATCGACTTTCTGGATTATGGAAATAGCTATCTCAAGAGAAGGAATGAGGATTTCCCACCCAAGCCATCCTGAGCAACTCTCAGGTTTGTGCCCCTTTGTGATCTCTAGCAAGAGCCAGGCTGTGTGACGCCAGGCCCATCGATGTCTGTGTCTGGGCCTGGGCTGTTTCATAGCTGGTCCAGGCCACCCGCACGGAAGACAGCCTCCTCCGCCGGATGCTCTTCAGAGGCCACCACTGGTGGGATGGCACCCGTCACATGCCGCACCTCAGCGGGGAGGGCGCTGTGTGCATGTTCCAAGAACTTAGCCACCAAAACCCTGGTGTCCGCATAGGCCTTGCTGTCTACTAAAGAGGGCGGCCTGTCTTTGGAGACCATTTGTAAGGCCTCTGGTTTGGTCTGTTGGTCCATTTTCCAGGTATCTGGGTTGCCAGGTGTTGAAAGCTGGTACTGACAGGCAGCCATGGCAGAGCGAGATGTGGAAACTAAAAATCGAGAAAGAACACGTAACTTTCAGACAACCAGAAAGAAACCAAAACGAACCAGAGGCGGCTGGGTTGTTTTCTAAAGAGCAAACCAAAAGCATGCCAAGAACAAACTTGGGGGGAGCTTTTCTGGCTCTGAGCTGGCATCTGACATGTCCCCTGCTTCCGATGTCCCTTCCCCCCGCCCCACCCCCAGCCTGAGACTGGCGTTGACTTGAAGGGTCCTTCAGCCTCCTGAAGGACAGGAAGGTGATGTGGCGCAGGCTGGGGAGAAGATGGGCAGGTGCAGGCAAAGATGGCCTTCTGTTCAGCTGGCTGCTGGAATTCCAGGGCTGAACCCCCCTTCCCCCCCAGCTTGCCCCAGCTCCATGATCTTTGCCCCCATGGTCCTGATCACTGTGGGGCCAGAATAATGGCTTCTAGAGGTGGAATCTACTCTAAGACCAGAGCTTGGGTGGCAGAGGGTCCATAAAAAGCCCTTCCACACATGCCAGGTATGGACCATTTTCACACATGCCATAAACTCAGTGTCCTTCCCGACTTCCCCAGGCCAAGGGCTGGGGAATTGGCTCAGGCTCTACAAAAGGGATGATGGAGCTGGGTGCCCGTGGCTCAAGCTTGTAATCTTACTACCCAAGAAGCTGAGATCCAAGGATCACAGTTCAAAGCCAGCCTGGGCAGGAAAGTCCATGACACTCTTATCTCTGACTAACCACCACAAAGCCAGAAGTAGCGCTGTGGCTCAAGTGGTAGAGTGCTTGCTTTGAGCAAAAGAGCTCAAGAATGGTGCCCTGGCCCTGAGTTCAAGGCCCAGGCCTGACAAAAGGTGGGGAGGTGAGGGGGCGGAGGTCACGATGACCAGCCACTCAGCACAGGCCATAGAACAAGCATCAGTCTGCATCTCTGAGAAAGCCAGTTCCTAATGGTCCACTGAGATCAACTCACACCAAACATCAAAACCCAAGTTGCCTGCACAACGTGGGCACATTCTGGGCAATCTGTTTTGGAGTCCTTTGGGTGGCAATGAATAAGCTCAGAAGAGAAGTTAAAAGTGAACACAATGCTTCCAGATAGGGCCAGTGAACTTCCCTAATAAAATGAAGTAAGGCCAGGTGTGGTAGTGTGCGCCTGTAACCGTGGCCCTTCTAGGAAGAGGACTGAAAGTTCAAGGCCAGCCTGGGCTACATAGTTGAGAAACTGTTTCATACGTGTGTGTGTGTGTGTGTGTGTGTGTATATGTGTGTGTGTGTGTGGAGAGAGAGAGAGAGAGAGAAACAGTTAACAAGGAATGGGTAGGGTTGGAGAGAGATGGATGAAACAAAATGGAAGGGGTGACTTTAATTTGCATTGTACTCACAGCCTGACTTGTTGAATTGAAACCACTACTTAAAGGTAATTTTAAAAATCAGAATGTTTTTTTAACAAATCAGACGGAGTAGTTAGTAACAGCCTGTGGTACAGCTCTTGGGTGGCTGAGAGGCTGCAGTGGGGCAGGGACCTCCGCATCCCCCGCCAGCCATGTCCACTTCTCCATAGGTAGATGGCAAAGTGTTGGGGAATGGGGCAGGGCTCACCTGTCCCCAGAGGGGCCCGAGAAGGTGTGGTTTCCAGGTCCTGGCTGCACAAGGCGGGGTGGTGAGAGGCATCACCTGAAGCAGAATAAAAAGCACTCAGCACATGAAAGAGGAATTATTGACCAAACAATCACAACCCACCCGAGACTCAGGCATTGGTCAGAGGCCAGGAAAACCCTGTGAGAATCAAGCACAGAGTGGTGTCGCCCGCCTGTCCCCCTACATGAGCCGAGGGGCTGGCATCAGAAGGCCCACCCTTCCAGTCTGAGGTTCTCTGGGGACCTGGAAAAGCACATGTCTTCCGTGTTGAGAAAAGTGACGGTCCATCTATCTGGAAGGAGACAGAAGCGCCAAGGTTGCAGAGAAAGCATGGCGACCAGAATCTCCATCCACAACTGAGAGCCATCACAGGGCCTCAGAGCTGACCTTGAGCCTTCCAAATGCATGGGGCCCTCCCTTGGGCCTCAGTGAGTGACCGTGGCCACGGAGGCCCACGGGTTGGTCCTTCCGGGGGTGGGGAGGGAAGGAGAGAAGCTCTGTCACTGTGAATCGATGCTCACAGTAGGTGTTTCCCAAAGATGAGTCATTTGCCCACATAGGGGAAAAAGATAAAGAGGGAAGAGGGCTGGGGGGCTGGGGAAGTCTGGAGGTGCATGCAAACTTTATCAGGAGGATGCTTCTAGATACATGCAGGCTCCTGATAGCCACCGGTGACTCCATGCTTCCTTGGCAGGGCCAGGCTCTGGGTGATCGAGGCCCAGTTGATGCGGGCACCCAGATGCTCTGCTTAGGGTTTGTCCACATCCATTTTAGGCAGGAGTCATGCAGGATGAGACCTCAGTCAAAGGCCCTCTTGTCTTTATTGGCAAGGCATCTGCCCCACCGCTACCTATGGAATCAAGGATGGGTGTGGGTTCTCTAGCCTTGGGGTACCCCCACCCACCTGAGAGAGCGAGTGTGAGATGAAAACTTGCTATGCTGACGACCACAGGGACTCCAGCCCTGAGCGAATGCCCCCCACACCACCACCCCCAACACATACAAAGCCACATGAGGGGTTTCGGGAACGCACACTGCCACCCCCCCAGTATTACCTGAGATCACTGCGCTGACCCCACCCTCACTCTCTTTGTTTGTGTTTATGGCCACATGGAAGGCTCCCATTCTCTTCAGCTCTCGTGTCCTTTCTTCCCCCACCAGCCTGGGGGCCCTTCTCTAGAGACACAACAGGACTCTCCAAGGGCCTTCCTCCAAGTTGAGGGGTCTCAGATACCCAAACCATTTTCCCCAGGTTTCCCCTGACCCACAGAGCCTCTGGGACCAGACACACCTGCCTTGCTGGACACACAGGCAGTGGGATCACTAGCCGAGCGGGCCACACGCCCGGAACTGGGCGGTCCCTGAGAGCTCAGATCTGTGGCTTCTGGGGACAGATGCTGGAGGTCTGGGGCAGGTGGTGGGGCTGGCGGGGTGCCTTCTGTATCATCAGGGGATGTGTGGCTTGGACCCAGCGAGGTGGCCCCATCTGAGGTGGGTAGGCTGGTGGTGCTGGCTGGCACTGAGGAAGAATGGACACAGGTTAGGCACGGCCAGGTGGCCACATGGACAGGGCAGTACTGGCCTTTCGATCTGAATCAACCAATCTGAATCAACCCCGCACCATCTCAGATAGTGCCTGGAAATGGAATGGATTGGGAAAATGCCACTGAAAGATTCGGGGATGGAGTCAGATGATTGTCCAAGAATCTTTCCAGAAAAATTCTAGTTAACTTTTCAGGAAGATTCTCCTAGATTCTCCAGGAGACTGGAAACTGGAGGTGAAGGCCAGGTGCTGGTGGCTCACGCCTGTCATCCTAGCTACTCAGGAGGCTGAGATCTGAGGATTGTGGTTCAAAGCCAGTGGGAAAGTCCCCAGGAAGGAAAGTCTGTGAGACTCTCATCTCCAATTAATCATCAAAAAGCCAGATGTGAATCTGTGGCTCAATTGGTAGAGTACTAGTTTGGAGTAAAAGAGCTTAGGGACAGTACTCAGGCCCTGAGTTCAAGCTCCATGACTAGCACAAAAAGAGAGAGGGAAGAGAGAGAGTAAGGGAGGGAGGGAGGGAAGAGAGAAGAGAGGAAGGAGATAGATAAAGAGAAGGGAGGAGAGGAGAGGAGAGGAGAGAAGAGGAGAGGAGAGGAGAGGAGAGGAGAGGAGAGGAGAGGAGAGGAGAGGAGAGGAGAGGAGAGGAGGGGAGGAAATCCTTAGAGAATATAAAAGTGCTTCAGACACCAGGGGAGGGAAGGAAAGATTACCTGGTGTGCTAAAGTCAGCGGTGGTGTCTTGGTCGCCAGAGCTGGGCAGGACCACCTGGTGGTCCATACTTGTCACCTGCAGTAAGAAACACCAGGTATCACAGTGGGTGATCAGTCAGACTCAGAGGCCATCACACAGCGGGCCTGAATAACACAGCTGGCCCTCTGCAGCCTCACATTTCCTGTTTTCAACTAAGCAGGGGAGGGGAGGAGGATTGTGAATAATCTGAGGAGGAGGGAAAAAAAAGTAACTTGAGCTGGAGACTGATGGCTCACACCTGTAATCCTAGCTACTCAGGAGGCTGAGATCTGAAGATCACAGTTCAAAGCTAGCTGGGGCAGGATATTCCGTGAGACTCTTATCTCCAATAAACTACTCAAAAGAGCCAAAAGTGGCACTGTGGCTCAAGTGGTAGAGCGCTCGCCTTGAGCAAAAGAAACTCAGGGACAGCATGCCCAGGCCCAGAGTTCAAGCCCCGGGGCCAGAAGAGCGGGGAGATATGATGCTTCAAGCCACCATGGCTGGGCCTGGAATGATGCCAGCCTGAGTGACTCTCCCACACTTGCTGTGTTCTCTTCCTCATGGCCTCCTTGCCAGGCTCGGGGCCAGGGTTCAATTCTGCATGGGGCACTGTGTGAGCCTGAATGAGGGTCTCCGGCATCCAATCTGGGTGCAATGAAGACTATAAAGAGTTGGCAGCTGTTTTGCCCAGCAAGGCCTCAGGAAACTGGAAGACGAAAAGCCAGCCCGCCACTCCCATCTCTGATCACACCCTCACCCCTCACCTGGTCCATCCTCTACGCCACCGGCTGTCTGCCTTGGTGGGGGCTGCTCCTCCCTCTGTGATTCGGGGCGTAGCCTGTCCCCACCTGGCCCTTGGGCTGGAATGGAACGTGCACCACCCTACACCCCTTCACCAACTCACAAAGCAATTTTCTGATGCCTCGTGTTATTTCAGAATTGCTTTGGGAACACTCTTGCAAATCACAAGCTCTGAAGGGGGCTGAGGAAGGTGAGGCAGGCCCCTGCGGCTCCGTCCCATTCCAGCTCAGGTAATTACATTTCTGCCTTCCCTGGTTGCCCCCTCACCTGCCACCACTTCAGCCAGAGAGCTGATATTCTCCATCTCTCCTCCATACAAAGCTAGGGCAGAGGCAGGTGGCTCCAGTGGCAGCCTTTCGTGCCCACATAACAGGGTGGGCAGTGCCCCTACCCCATAGCACCAGGGCTGGAAGGGGATAGAGAGAGGGCAGGGCAGGCAGGAGAGCCGCTGCCTCTGACTGACTGCATCTCTGTGCTACAGAACAGCAGCTTTTCCTCCCTCAGCACTGCTGGAGAGGGAATTGCCAGAATTCACACCACCACCAGCCCCCGCCTACCTCCCTATAGTAATCATTGCATGCCAATAACCAATGCTGGAAATCCCTGCCCAGAATCTCCCACTCAATCTCACACACACACACACACACACACACACACACACACACACACACACACACTCACACACACACAAACGGATGCCCAAAGATCTATTTCATCCCATAACTCTCTTCCCACATCTAATCACACAGATACAGAGGTGAGTAGAAAAGGAGACGGGGGCGGGGGAGGGGAGTGCCCGGCAATGAAGAAATATAAATAAGAGAAATAAAACACCCAGTGGGACACGGCCGGGAGAAAATTGGATTCGTCTCCTATTTGCAGGCCTCTCTCTCCCTTCCCCTCCGGTTCCCTGAAATAGAGAGCTAGAAAATGTGGTTCAAGGGAGGCAGTTCTGAGAGGCATCTGTCACCTCTTAACAAACAAAGTGTCAGGAGCTTAATTTGAATTTGGCTGTCCCCGGTGTCAAAAGCCACCTTGTCACACTCAAGCTGCTGAAGGGAGGAGGAGGAACGAAATAGCTGTTCAGTTCACACAGCATTGTTGATGAGCTGGAAAGGCAGCAGGAGGGAGTGCAAAAGGGAATGTCTGTGGTATAGAACTGAAATTAGTTTGGCCACAATAGGCTCAAAACCGCAGCTCTTTGCAGGTGATGGAGGAGGAATGGGGAAAGGGACTGTTCTGTTAAGTTAGGCTGTTATGAGCTTAACTTCACTCAGAACCCTCCACCCTGTGTGGATTTAACTAATTCTAAGAGAGGCTAGATGGGACTACCATCATCGTTCAATGATCAGCTGTCCAGTAGGGGAAGTCAGCTGTATTTCCCCTCATCTTCCCCCATGGCCAGTCCTACATAGAAATCCTGTCTATTTCCTTATTTCCTCCCTCCCCCTTCTCTTTCTTTCTTTCCTTGGTTGTGGGGCTTGAACCGAGGGTCTGGGCGCTATCCCTGAGCTCTATGGCTCAAGGCTAGTGCTCTACCACTTGGAGCCATAGCACCACTTCTGGTTTTTGAGTGGTTCATTGGAGTTAAGAGTCTCATGGGGACTTTTCTCACCCTCATCCTCTGAGGCGCCTCTATAATTTGGCATCCAAGGTCGTTAAATGTCTACTCAGACTACCCTGGTAACCTCCTTTGTGAATCTAAAACCCCCACATCAGGCACCTGGCCAGCTGCGCCAGTGCCTTTGCGTGTGTGGAACCTTCCACCTGCATGGCCTTTCCTGGTGACTCACAAGCTCTACCCACATCACCAGGCTTGGTGCTTCCTCTGAAGTCTCAGAGACCTGTGACCACGCTGGATTTTTGGTTCCCTGATGGGGGAAAAGATAAAGAGGATTCTGTGTAGTTCATACTTCATGGCTATCATCAAAGCAGGAATATCGGCTTGGCAAGTTCGTGGTGGTGGTGGTGGTGGTGGTGGTGGTGGTGGTGGTGGTGGTGGTGGGGGTGGTGGTGGTGATGGTGGGGGTGGTGGTGGTGGTGGTGGTGGTGGTGGTGGGGGTGGTGGTGGTGGTGGGGGTGGTGGTGGTGGGGGGGGTGGTGGGGGTGGTGGTGGTGGTGGTGGTGGTGGTGGTGGTGGTGTGGTGGTGGGGGTGGGGGTGGTGGTGGTGGTGGGGGTGGGGGTGGGGGTGGTGGTGGGGGTGGTGGGGGTGGTGGGGGGGGGTGGGGGTGGTGGTGGTGGTGGTGGTGGTGGTGGGGGTGGTGATGGTGGTGGTGGTGGTGGTGGTGGTGGGGGTGGGGGTGGTGGTGGTGGTGGTGGTGGTGGTGGTGTGGTGGTGGTGGTGGGGGTGGTGATGGTGGGGGGGGTGGTGGTGGGGGTGGTGGTGGGGGTGGTGGGGGTGGTGGTGGGGGGGGGGGTGGTGGTGGTGGTGGTGGGGGTGGTGGTGGTGTGTGTGTGGGGGGGGTCTCAGCTTCTTCAGTAGGCTGAGGCAAGACAATCTCTTAAGCTCCGGGGAGATTAAGACCAGCCTGGATGGCACCAAAGATCCTGTGTCAAAAACTAAATCTCGGGGCAGGTGCTGATGGCTCACACCTATAATCCTCGCTACTCAGGAGGCTGAGATCTGAGGATTGCAGCTCAAAGCGAACCCCAGGCAGGATAAAGTCTGGGAGACCCTTCTCTCCAATTAATCATTAAAAACCAAGAAGGAGAGGTATGGCTCAAATAGTAGAGTGTCATCCTTGAGTGAAAAACATGAAGGGGCAGTGCCTAGCCCCTAAGTTCAAGCCCCAGTACCAGAACTATATAAATACACACATACACACACATACATACATACATACATACACCCATTGTCAGCCAGCTGCTGGTGGCTTGTGTCTATAATCCTAGCTACTTAAGAGGCTGAGATCTGAGGATGGCAGTTCAAAGCTAGCCCCGGCAAGAAAGGCCTAAAAACTAGAAGTGGAGCTAGAGTACTAGCCTTGAGCAAAAATGCTCAGGGACAGTGCCCAGGCCCTGAGTTCAAGCCCCAAGACTGACAAATAAATAATAAATCTTCCCAATAAGTGCTTATCTCCTCCCCCTGTGCAGAGCCCCATTGTGTCCCCTCACTCTTCTGCCATTCTGTCATTCTGTCCTCTTTATCCAAACTTGGCTGATAGGCAATTTATACTCCATTTGTCCCAACAAGGGCGAAGCAATTAGCCTGCTCCTCATCTAGGAAGAAGGTTTGTGCTGTGAAGTCAAGGGGTTGCTCCTGGCTGTGTGGTCAGATGGGGGATAGACCACCCCAGAGGAGGTGGCAGCTGGCATGTGCAGCCCTCCCTCGGTGGATGATAATGGGTTTCATCGACTTCCGGCCTCCCAGAGACACTTGTGGAATTGAAAATGCCCCAAGAACATGGGGTCAAGGAGAGTCAGCCTGCACTCGGCAGGCCACTTAATTACCAGATGTTCCCACACAGCTGGCTTGAGAGAGGCTGCATCTACAGAGGCGCTCACCTGGGCTGCTCTCTGGCTGGCCATGTCTGCAGGCTGGCTAGATACAGGCTCTGTGGAAGGAATCTCAGTATAGAGTTCCAAGGTATTTTGGAGAAAGATGTCCTATCTCAGTATAGAGTTCCAAGGTGTTTTGGAGAAAGATGTCGTGTGTGTGTGTGTGTGTGTGTGTGTGTGTGTGTGTGTGTGTGTGTGTGTGTGTGTGTGTGTGTGTGTGTGTGTGTGTGTGTGTGTGTGTTGGTACTGGGGCTTAAATTTTAGGGCCTGAGTGCTGTCCCTTCACCTTTTCATTCAAGGTTGGTACTCTACGATTTAAGCCACAGCTCTACTTCTGGAGTAGGCTAACTGGAAATTAAGAAAGCTCAAAGCCTTTCCTGCCCAGGTTGGCTATAGAGTTCCAAGGTATTTTGGAGAAAGATGTCCTATCTCAGTATAGAGTTCCAAGGTGTTTTGGAGAAAGATGTCGTGTGTGTGTGTGTGTGTGTGTGTGTGTGTGTGTGTGTGTGTGTGTGTGTGTGTGTGTGTGTGTGTGTGTGTGTGTGTGTGTGTGTGTGTGTGTGTGTGTGTGTGTGTGTGTGTGTTGGTACTGGGGCTTAAATTTTAGGGCCTGAGTGCTGTCCCTTCACCTTTTCATTCAAGGTTGGTACTCTACGATTTAAGCCACAGCTCTACTTCTGGAGTAGGCTAACTGGAAATTAAGAAAGCTCAAAGCCTTTCCTGCCCAGGTTGGCTTCCACCTGCAGTGGACAGCAGTGGGAGCTGGGGCCTTGTTAAGAATGGGAAATTCCTGGCTTACCTTTCTCCCTTCACCTGCTGCTGGCTTCAAAACCCTGGAGCTGGGACCTGTCATCAGAATTTGATTGACATGTCTTGGGGAAGGGGTGAGATGCCTATCAGAGTCTCACACCCAGCTATTCTTCTTCATGCCCCTACGCAAACCCCAAGGCCATCTGGCTCCAGCCCAGCAGGCTTTTCATGACCAATCAGGAGGATCACAGGCTTTGGGCAGCTATGAGCCTCTGCTTTCTTTCTTTACTGCTGGTTCCCACAAATCCAGGCTTGTGGGGGCCCCACCTGAGCTCTGTCATGTGGGCAGGAGCCTCTTCCTTCCCATCATGCAGTGATGCAATTCTGCACGCCCCTTCTTCAGGCCCCTCTCCCCTCCCTGGCTCAGATATCCCAGTGAGGGTCCACCAAGGCGGGAGGATGAGCCCTGGAGGAGTTTAGGAAGCGCAGAGACAGCCCTCCCCTACCAATAGTTGGGCACAAGTGGAGTGTGCTTATCATCCCAGCTGCGTGAGAGGCTAAGGTTGGGAGGACCACAGTTCTAGACCATCCTGGGTAGAAAAGTATACAGTATTCCTTCTCAACAGGATAGCCAGGTCTGGTGATGTCTACTTGTCATTGGGGCTATAATGGGAAGCCCAAAGCAGGCAGATGGGATCTTGTATTTTTGGCTCAGGCTGGCCTGGAACCAGAATCCCCTCGCCTGCATGTGGAACAAAGCTTAGGTAACAGGTATGGACCACCATGCCAGCTTGTTAACTGTAAAGGGATTTAGCTAACTTCATCCCTTTTTTTTTTTTTTTTTGGCTTGGGCTGGTTTTGAACAGTGATCCACCTCCCAAATAAGATGGGATTATAGGAATGAGACATCTTGCCCAGCCAATGATTGTGGTATATGCTGGAGACAGGTCATGCTCCCCGCCCCTGCCCACCCTAATACTCAGCACACACAGCCCCAGCCTCCCTAATGGGGTGCTTCACCTATGATTTAGAAGCTTCCAGGGCCTTCTACACTAAGTTCTTGCCTATCACAGCATCAAGCTCAGGCACACGTGAGTTGTGTTGCGTGCTTTCTACAACCAAGTCAGACAATCAAGGGGAAAACACAAATAATGGGGACCCCAGGCCTGGGCTCGAACTTTGGTAGATCTAGCTGTCAATTCCAGCACAGAGCTAAGCAGAGCCAGTATCCTATTTTCTGGAAGGTTCCCCAATGCAGGCACCGGTAGGAGCCATCAGTGCAAGGCAGGCACGGGTGTGTCAACCACACAGCCCATTCCACATCCGACCTAGTGCTTGCCCTGAGGGCCGGGCCCCTGTAGTGGCCCCAGGTCTCACCTGGCTGGCCGGCGTCTGGCCCACCACGGCCTCGTAGGGCGGGGGCAGCTCGGCGGGGTACAGCATGCTGGGGCTGTTGATGGCTACGTCGTACAGAGTGCTGAGCGGAGAGGAGGCAAAGTCCAGGTGGAGGCCCCTGAAAAGGAAAAGTGGTCGTCACAGGGCCGCTCCCGAGGAGTGGGCCCTGACTGCTGGCTGACTCCCACAGAGTGTGAACTGTTGGCCGGGGGCATCCTCCATCCAATACCTGATTTGTCTGAGGGAGAAAGGTGTGAGTCACTGGGCAATTGTAACTTTGGTCTTCCTTCTGGAAAGATATCCACATTTCTAGTCAACTCATAGTCATGTAACTCCAGTGCTCACGCAGCTGGTGGGACCTTGAGTGACATTTTCCACAAATAATTATCATTCATTCCATCGGTCGTGGGGCTTGAACTTGAGGCCGGGGCACTATCCCTGAGCTCTTTTTGCCCAAGGTTTAAAGCTCTACCACTTTGAGCCACAGCTTGTGGTTTTCTGGCGGTTCCTTAGAGATAAGAGTCTTATAGACTTTCCTGCCCTGGCTGGCTTTGAACCATGATCCAATCTTAGCCTCCTGAGTAGCTAGGATTACAAGATGAGCCACTAGCGCCCAGCTCAAGCTTGCTTTTCTATGCCTGGTCTTAGGTCTGCTCAGCCCTCGTTTCCCCCTCCCCCACCCCATTCCTGGAAGAACAGCTGGCTATTTCCACCTTGTCCCAACCAAAGCTGCTTGTGATGCTGGTGGCCTGAGCCCGGGAGTGAGGCGTGGAGAGGAAGGCTCACCGGTGGGTGTCAGAGGAGGGCGTGCAGGAGTACTCGGGAGGGTAGTAGGGTGGGGGCGGGAGGGGTGCGATGAACTCGTCGAAGTCCAGGATCTGGTGGATCACGGTGCCATGGGGGGTCACGCAGGCAGGGTTGGCCGAGTGTGACCTCTGGGGAAAGAACTAGAAGACAGAGCGCATGGCAGTTAGTTAGGAAGCCTGGTGTGGCTTGTGTCTCGTCAAGCTCATTGCACCCGCGTTTTCACCATTAGCGTGCACTGTCTTCACTCCATTTTCCACACTGTTAGGCAAAGTGCCTTTTAGGGATTTTTGTTTTGCTTTTGAGAAAAAGTAGCGTCTGGGAGGTATTGGTTATTACCCTTCCCATTATGCTGGCTCCTGGGTTTTTTTTTTTAAATCAACCATGGCCATCCATGGATGGAGCCTTGCTATGTCCATTTGTGGAATAAGCTTGGGAATTGTCCGCTGCTCTCAGTGCAGAGACTGTGGCTATGAAATGGCTCTGTGGGGGATGGGCTCTGTGCTCTTGCACGGCGAGGGCATAGGAGAGAGAGGGTGAAGGGACAACAAGGGGACCCGCATCCCCTGCACATATAACAGCACCATTAAAAAACAATGAGGCACCTGTGGCTCATGCCTATAATCCTAGCTACTCAGGAGGCTGAGATCTGAGGATCACGGTTCAAAGCCAACCTGGGCAAAATATACATTACAAATTACTTATGAGGGTTGGAGGCATGGCTCAGTTGGTAGCCAATGAAGTAAATGCCAGGTACTGAGTTCTGGTCTCGGACCTAAACAATAAAATCCATATAGACCATGCTTACTGAATGAGCAGTAAGTCATCTTTAGATCAGTGAAAACTGAGGTGACACAGCCCCAAGCTCACATCTCACATGAAGGAAGTGGGTCTCAGATACAGACAGGCCTTGACCTCAGACCTATGACCTCCCCCAAGCTCACTGCTGCCCCCTGCAGGTCACCAGACAACAGCTCTGTGCAGAGCAGTTACCACTGCAGCTGCTTCAGAGCTACAGCATGCTCACTTCATCTTTTGTTGCCTGTGTTCAGTGTGATACTGAACAACTAGAATAATGCACACTTTTTAGCATTTTAGCCGCCCTTTTGTTCTGTCAGTTGGGCCAAATTGGTGTGATATTTACAGATCAACAGTAAAAGAAAAAAAAAAAAGAAACAAAATCTGCTGAGGTGAGGAGAATTCCCTGGTATTTAACCTTTCCTTCCCACAACACACTGAAGAAAATTGCCAACCCCAAGTCTCCATGAACCAGATTGAAAGTTCACCCTGCTGAATAAGAGTTTAATTAGACACCTTTCAAAACTCTGCAACCCTCTGGAAAGGCTGGCTGGCCGTGACAGCTGTGTGGGTCCATACTGGGCAAGGGAAGCTATATGTGGTAGACAATTAGGGAATGACAGGCACATTTTTAACGTCTGGGTAACGATGTTCCCAGGCCCTGTATCTTGATTAACTGGGGTATTGCACCAGAACAGGGAGGGGGAGGGAGAAGGAGGAAGAGGAGGAGGAAGAGGAGGAGGAGGAGGAGGAGGAGGAGGAAGAGGAGGAGGAGGAGGAGGAGGCAGCAGCGGCCAAGGAAAAGCATAAAGCATGCATACAAGATGGGGTGGGCCAGGGAACAGAACGGGAGTGCGGCAGATACAGATGGTGCTCGGGTAGGACACACCAAAACTCAAGGGAGCCAGGCACTTGTGGCTCAAGACTGTAATCCTAACTACTCAGGAGGCTGAGCTCTGGGGATCATGGTTCAAAGCCAGCTCAGGCAGGAGAGACTTACCTCCAATTAACGATAGAAAAAGCTGTAAGTGTTAAGGAAGGTCACCTTTCTGTTTTGTCTCTCCTGCATTATCTACTTCCTTTCCTCCTTTTTCCACAAGGGCTTTACCTAAAGCCAACCAGAGACAGCTGCTGGTTCTGAGCTTCTCCAGCCTCCAGAGCAATAAGGTGAAGAAACCTCTTTTTTTTCTCTTTGATCGTTTCTTTATTTAATCACCAATTAATGCTGCTCAAGGTTTCAAATTCCTCTCCAAACTTTCTAAAACATTGATAAATGTTTTTTTTTTGTTTCTAATTAGAGCCATCCTAATTGAGATGAGGTGTTGTCTATTTTCAGTTTTATTTGCTAATATTTTTATTAATCTCTTTATGAACAGGTTCTTTTAGGTGTAGCCTAGTTGAAGCAGTCTGAAAAAAATAAAATGATAAAAAGAAATAGCAGACTAGTATTTCTGTGGAAAGATAATTAAAATAATGAAATGATAAGCAGAAGGCCACTATAGTGGGGGCTAGACAATTATAATTTGCTAGTACTATAACTTTTGAATGGGAAGTGTAAACTGGCCATACGAACTTATGCACTTCAAAATAAAATGTAATTCAGACTTTAAAACTAGTTTACATTCCTACCAACAAGGCAGCAGAAATCTCTTTTCTTTATAAATCGATCTGCCTCCGGTATTTCATTATCCTAACTGAAGACAGATGGAGATGGGAAAAGAGATGCTGGGAGATAGGGGGCAGAGAGAGAGAGAGAGAGAGAGAGAGAGAGAGAGAGAGAGAGAGAGAGAAAGCAAGAACAGGAGGAAAAGTCCCTCCCCTACTGTGAAACAGTATCATCTAGAACCTCTCTTGTGTCCTGAGAATTGGCCTGTGTTCCACTGACAGGGAAACAACGCGGACCTATCATGGTTTAGGATGTGCATATTTATAAACGTGTATAAACAAGCATATAGCTCCTCCAGGGACAGCAGAACTGTCTCTCTGAGATCCTGGCTGGCTGGGGTGCCAGGGGAAAGCCAGTGGCCAGGTTCATTACGAAGTCAGAATTAATTAGCAAATTGTAAAAGCAAGGCATAGCACTTTGAAATTTGAGAAGAACCCATCTTTTGACAACCCTAAACATCCTCAATAGCATGAGGTTGGCCCCTGCCCTGGAGGTGCCTGGGGCACAATAAAGTCCAGGGCCATGAGATTTCTACTAAAATTGCTCAGGGGCCGTCTAGGAGGATGGGCCAGTGGCAGGACTGTCCGTACAGTTCCAACAGCATCTACCATAAATAATCAACAGCTCCCAAAGTGCACTGCGCCATCTTACAGAGAGCAGAGAGGCACGGGATGGCCTCCAACCAGGTACCTCAGGCAGAACCAGCCCAGCATCCCCGCCCTACCTCTGGGGTCCAATCAGAAGCGTCTGCTTCCGCGTTGGTTTCCTATCCACTTCTGGTGCCCAATCAGGAGCGTCTACTTCTGCGTTAGTCCCCGCCCCACTTCTGGCACCCAATCAGAAGCGTCTGCTTCTGCTTCGGTCACTCACCATGTGAAGGACATCGGAGGACACCATTTGCATGCAGCACATGGCGGTGGCCAGCGCACACACGATGGTGGAGAGGACGTTGAGGGCGCACACACTGAAGAGGAGGTCCTGGGAGAAGACAGGACGTGGGAGAAGGTCAGCTCAGCTTGAACAACCACATGCAGGGGGCCTTACACGCTTTGCCAGGGCCCAGCATGAGCTGGCGACTGCCATCTGCTTCATGGTGTGTGTGTGTGTGTGTGTGTGTGTGTGTGTGTGTGTGTGTGTGTGTGTGTGTGTGTGTGTGTGTGTGTGTGTGTGTGTGTGTGTGTGTGTGTGTGTGTGTTCTGTCTGTCTGTGGTTCTTTTTTAAAACATGTTTCTTCTTTCACAATGCTGATCAGCTCATAATAATAATTACTAGTAGTAGTATTAGCAGTAAGTTAGTTTGAACTCAGGGCCTTGACTTGCCAGGCAGGTACTGGACTACGTTAGCCACACTCCCAACCCTTTTTGCATTATTTTTATTAATTGTTATTCTTAAATAAGGTTTGGTTTTCACCCAGATCCCTTGGCTCTGTTCTCCTGTTCGTTTGTTTTTTCTTTTTTTGTGTGTCAGTCCTAGGGCTTGAACTCAGGGTCTGGGCACAGTCCCTGAGCTTTTGTACTCAAGGCTAGTGCTCTGCTACTTTGAGCCACAGCTCCACTTCTGGCTTTTTTGTTTTGTTTTTGTTTTTGGTGGTTAAATGGAGATAAAGAGTCTCAGGGACTTTCTTGCCCGAGCTGGCTTTGAACCACAGTCCTCAGAACTCTGAGTAGCTTAAGTATTACAGAATCACCAGTATCTGGCTGTTCTCGTGGTTTATTATTATTTCCAGAGTGGGCTTTTTTGGAGGGAGTTTTGTGTCCACATGCTTCTTGAGGAAATGAATTCTCAACCCATGCCAGAAAGAGGAAAATAAAATAACCAGGATGTACAAAAAGAATCAACAATTCAGAACATACACCATGGATTTGGATATCTATGGTCTACCTGAAAGATTTAGAATGATTCAACTTTTTATTTATTCATTCATCCATTTATTTATTTATTTTTGGGTCCGGTCGTGGGGCCTGAACTCTGGGCCTTGGCACTGTCCCTCAGCTCTTCAGTTCAAGGCTAGTGCTCTACCACTTGAGCCACAGCGCCACTTCCAGTTTTCTTTTTGCTTATGTGGTGCTGAGGAATCGAACCCAGAGCCTCAGACATGCAAGGCAAACGCTCTACCACTGAGCTACCTTCCCAGCCCCATTTTTTTTAATAGACAGAATTCAGCTACCAGGAGAGAGATTGCCTTTTCACAGAACTGTGGCATTAGCAAGGTGGGAGGTATTAAGAGGAGCTTGTTCTGCACGGTCCCCACCCTGTGGTGTGTCTACCAGACTGTCTGATGGAAGAACCTCCTAGGCCTTGTTCCTGCACACATAGGAACCCAAGCCTTCTAATGCAGCCCATCCTCTAGGAAATTTCCGTGATTACAGAAGTCACAGTGGAACCCCTTTCCTCAGAACCTGATCCTTAAAGGCTTCTCCAGACTGCCCTAGGAGACAGATAAGGGGTACAATTATGAGAATATCAAGGAAAAAAGTGAGCATGTGGTGTTGCAACACATTCCTAGAGATACAGTCCAAGGCGGGGGAATGTCAAGATGGAGAAATGAGTCTTGATTTTTCCGCAGAAGAGAAATGGAGCTCCCTCTAGGGTGAATTATCTCCCACTCTGAGATAAGAGTATTTTGAGATTTCTGGTAGGATTCTTGGCTCTGTATCTCTAATTCTCTTGGCTACTCCTTTTCCTAGACTCAAAGAATTTCTTCCCAAACATGTGCTAACAGTATTCAACAGAATACTTGATGAACCCTCCAGGAATCTCAGGGCACCTCTCTTTTCCAGCATCCCATCCTGAGAACTCAAGCTTCTTATCTCTCGACTCTCTTTGGCTCTCAAGTCTGTCTCTCCAATTTAGGGAGTCCCCTGGGCTCCCATGCCCAGCAGAAACCTGGAAACTCAGGGCAGTCAGCAGGGGCTGTGGCAGGGCTCCTGTGATTTGCCCTTCACCTCTCAGGGAGATCGCAGTGCTTTATTTCTGATATTCACTGTCTGTATATGTTATATTGATTTGGGAGCATCTGACAGGATTAAATCTCATCTGTTATTGTTTCCTGTTGGCCAGATAGTCTTGGTGATTGTTCTGTGTGTTTGCTGGTACTGGGGCTTGAACCCAGGGCCTGGGTACTGTCATTTAGCTTTTCTACTTAAGGATGGTGCTCTACCACTTGAGCAATAGCTCTATTTATAGCTTTTTTCTCTGGTTAACTGGAGATAAAAGTCTCATGGACTTTCCTGCCTGGGCTGGCTTCGAACTGCAATATTCAGGTCTCAGCTTCCTGAGTAGCTGGTATTACATGTGTGAGCCACAGGCACCCAGCAATATTGTTAGTTTTATAAAGAAACCACTTCTCTTCATCACCCAGAATCTGGAATACACTTTGTCTGCTTAGTGAAGGAAAGGTAGGCATCACACAATATTCTGTTCACAGGGTGTTGTCACAGAGGAAATACATAATTTATGGCTTTTCAACTTTCAAAAACTTAAACAAGCCAGGCAGGAAAGTCCATGACACTCTTATCACCAATAAACCACCAGGAAACTGGAAGTGGCACTGTGGCTCAAGTGGTAAAGCACTAGTGTTGAGCTGAAGAGCTGAGGGACAGTGCCCAGGTCCAGAGTTCAAGCCCCATGACCCACAACAACAAAAAACTTTAACTCTAAACCCATTGGGCACCAGTGGCTCACGTCTGTAATCCTAGCTACACAGGAGCCTAAGATAGAAGGTTAAAATTCAAAGCCAGGGGAGTATAGACAAATCCAAGAGATTTTTATCTCCAATTCACTACCCTAAAGCTATAAGTGGAGGTGTGGCTCAAAGGGTGGAGCCCTAGCCTGGAGTGAAAAGAGCCAAGTTAGAGCAGGAGACTCTTGAGTTAGAGAGGGGAAGGGGAAGAGAGACCGACCCACTGTGTCAAGTTTGCTTTCAGTGGAGATGGAGTCATGAAGACTTTTCTGGTTGAACTGGCTTAGAACTTCAGTCTTCCCAATCTCAACCTCCCCTGTAGCTTGGGATGACAAGGAGGTCTGGTGAACTTCTCTTTTCTGGGGCCAGCCTCAAACTGTGATCCTTCCTTTTCTCAACCTCCCAAGTAGCTAGGATTATAGGCCCGAACCACTGGCACCTCGATGCTTTATATTTTTATAGCAAGGAAAGTTGATTTTAATACACACAAAATGGCCTCCAGGGGCCGTAACATTCCCCTGGGGAATCTGTCAGCTTTCCCTGGAAGTGGGTGGTTATGATTACAATCTGGTTTTATTTTGGTCTTAACAACGGTAGAAAGAAAATGCATCCAGGTGGAAGAGGCACTTTAGGAGTAGTCAGAATGAGAAAGAAATGGCTGTTCCTGTCCCTCTTAGGAGGGCTTGAAATGCCATGACAGGCCTTAGACAGGGGCCCGAGGAAGACCCACAATGCAGTGGGGGCAGCAGGAAATGTCTACAACCATAATGAGTGGGCCTGGAGTGCTGAATTCCTGGCCTCCTCCAACCCTGCTGGGCTCTGAACTTGGACCGGTCTTCTCTCTGAAAGAAAGCAGGTGCTGGGGAGCCGGGGCCATGTTCCTGCCTCCTCAGTGAGGAATCTTCTGTCTACATAAACCTCTCTGCCTGTCTGCCAGCTGCTGTCCACCCACAGAAGGCTCACCGCTGGCTCACATCTGCAGGCGGCAGGGCCTCTCTTCTTGGCTCCCGTGGTCACCTTTGGCGTCCCCAGATCTCTGCATATTGTGTCACCCCTCCCTACTGTAAATACAATCTCGCCACCAGCCCTGGGCTCCTTTGATCCTGTCACAGTGGTTCACAGAGTTTCAGCACCATTTCATTCAGGGGAAAGAAAAGAACCGGGGTCATTGTTCATATGCATTTATGAACAGTCAGTTTGGATGTTCAGAAGTCAAATATCATTTCTAAGAAGACAACGAAAAAGAAAGGGGGAATAATAGAAATGATATTCTTGGCATCATATGCTTTCCATGAGAATAGAATACCATAGGAGATTGGCAGAATTCTCTCATTCATATATATATATATATATATATATACATACATATATACATATATATACACACACATATATATGTATATGTGCACCCATCTGTTTCCTGATGGTGTGACAAAAGAAAACAAACAAATAGAAAGTGCTGGAATGCAACTAGATTACATCATCAGTGGAAAAGAATTCTTCCAACGACTCAGGTGCAGATTGCACAGGTAGAAAAATAATGGAAAAGAACATATAGAAAGCAACAGCTTCTAAATGAACACCTCTTATCCTATAAGATACTCTCTGGGAAAAAAGGTTCCCTCAGGCACTGAACCCAGCTGTGTGAATCCTGAGCTAAAGGATCTGTTTGTTAATAAATCTCCCTAAGTGTCTGTGAGGTCGCGCGGGAGACAGGACGGCCGGACGCAGGCGCAGAAGAAAATGTCTCTAGCTCGGTGTCTGGGGTGCGTGCGCGGACCAGGAGCCTGCAGCGAGCGCAGGGGAGAACGCATGCGCAAAAGAGCCTGCCTCCAGCTGGCGGGGAAGGACACGCATGCGCAGAAACGTCCTGCCGCTAGCTCGGTCACCTTCAAGGTCAGCCTGACGGCATTGCAGTTCTCCTGCAGGGGGTTCAGCTTCAGTGTCTCCCCGAGGTTGCTGCATCCCGAAGACTGATGCTGCAGCTCACAGCAGACGCACACCTCCACACTGTCAAACTTGATCTAGACGAGGAGACAGACAGACCTCACCGTTAACCTGGCGTTCGGCCCTTGGTGAAGAACAGAAAAAAATGACTCAGCTCAGAGCACCCCAGGAAAGCAAGAATGGTTTCCAGGGACCCAGGCCACGAAGAACACACAGCGGGGGGGGGGGGGGGAGAGGGGGGTTCTGCAAATCCCTATTTCAGTGATAGAGTAAAAAATACCCTGGGAGAAAATCTAAGCTTGTGAGTGCCAGAAAAGCGCAGGTGAATTACAGAAAGGAAAAGCACTCGCAGGCTCAGTGGGTGGGGATCGCCAACGTACTTACGATGGCAATCACGTAAGCTGTATGTCATTCTCCTCTCATGATCAGAAACTTTGTCTTACCTCATGAGCTACCGAACTCCTACTCACCCATCAATGCCCAGACTAGCTCCTGCTTGGAAGCTTAGGCTGGTTTTCCAACTTCTACCTTGCACTTTATCCAGCAGCTGCTGCGTCTTATCATCAGACTATTTACAATGCTGAGGGTCTGTAGGTGTTCAGTAAACGCTGAGTAAAAAACATTGGATTTTGAAAATCAAAAACCATAGAGGTGCTGGGCGCTGGTGGCTCAAGCCTGTAATCCTAGCTACTCAGGAGGCTGAGATCTGAGAATCGAGGTTTGGGGTTCAAAACCAGCCTGGGCAGGAAAGTCTGTGAGACTTTTATTTTCAATTAACCCCTAGAAAACCGGAAGTGGTGCTGTGGCTCAAAGTGGTGGGTGCTAGCCTTGAGCCAAAGAAGCTCAGGGACAGTGCCCAGGCCTAGAGTTCAAGCCCCAAGACAGGCACAAAACCAAAAACACGACAGAGGCAATAAATACAAGAATTTTAAAAATGAGCTAGATAAAAAGAGTAAGATTCAGTGATAGGGAAGAGAGTTGTAAGGATTGAGAGGAAAAGGGATTATATATATATATATATATATATATATCAATAAATAATAAATGTAAAATGACTAAAATAAAAATTAAACCTATATATTAAACTTATAATTTTTTTTTTACTCAAAACAGCACATAACACAAAACAACTCATTTTCTTTAGGTTACAAATTAGCCTTCTTTGCAGCAAATAATAAATTCCTTACACTAGAGAACTCAGACCAGAGCATGCTCAAGCTCATACATACATGTATATATATATACATATGTAAGTGTATGTATGAGTGGTTTTGGTTTTTTGTTTTTGTGTCTAGTGAAGGCTGGCCTTCCTACCTCATCTTTCTGGGTGCTGGAATTACAGACACCTGCATCACCATGCCCGGCTAAAGCACCAATATTGCTCTGGACAGATAAGAGCCAAGTGTTAGGTGTGAGCAATGACTTTCCCTTGCATGCATTATGAAGGGTGATGTTACATAACTTCCGAGCCTTTGTGTGTGTGGAAATCACTAGATGTGGGGTGATGTTGCTGAGAGGTGGGGCTTTCATTTGAGACTCCGTCCCCCTCTTACAAAGGGTGCTCCCCACCAGCATGGATTCCAGAGACACCAGGTTGGTGTGGAGCTCACACATTGTATTTGAGATGACGTTTTGCCCTTAGCCTTATGCCTTTACTGTGTTAGCTGGACAACACAATAAACAACTATAATCACCTACTACACACACTCTAAACACTCCCGACCTTTTTCTTTCTTTTTCACTTTAAGGCATATACTGGGATTTGAACTCAGGCCTCACACTTGATAGGCAGGAGCTGTACCATTTTCTTGCACACCAGGCTCTTTTCCAGCTCACCATACATATCTCTACCTCTACCTCCCGAGAGCTGAGATGACAGGTATGAACTCCCAGGCCCAGCTCCCCTCAGATGTTTCCAACTGAATGAACACTGAATAGGTACTTTTTTATTCTTTCAGGCTTTCCTACACCATGCAGGCAAGCTATTGCCACAGCATTTCTGGGATTCACAGAGCAAGGAGAGATGGCGCATGTCCCCAAGAGGGGGTGTATAGGTGGGTTCTGTGCAAACATTGCCATTTTACATAAAGGGATCAAGTGGCCTCAGATTTGTACCTTCAGGGTGTGTGTCAGGGGGAATACCATTTCCCAGCGAATAAAGGGTGACTACTCCAACCCCTAAGCCTGGATGCTGGGATTACAGGTGTGTGCACCTATACTTGTCTGAGGCAGCATCCCAGAGTCTCATCTGTAGCGGTTTGGCATTGAGATTGAAGCAGAGATCATAAACCACAGCTCAGTTTCCCTTTTCATCCAGAGAAGAGGACTAGAGCCAGGCTTGTCTCAGAAGTCTGGCTGATGACATTCAGTTATTCTCAGTGGTTCCCAGGGGACTGACATCCAAACAAGTCTCTTCTAGCACTCATTTTGCTGAAGTTTGTGATTCAGCTCAAGAAAACTTCTGGAGCCTTCCTGATGAGCTCCCTGACTGACCCGGACATCCGGGGTGCCTAGGCTGCTGACAGATTTACTCCCTGAGTGCCTCCTGGACATCCAGGTCCTTGGAAAAAGACAGTGGAGCTTGGCAAATGAAGCCACAGCCATTTTTCATGAATGTGTTTAGAGCTTTTTTTTTTTTTTTTTTTTTTTTAAGAGCTGGCCTGCCTTCTTATTTATGGCCCACAAGCCTAAGGGGAAGAAAAAGGGCTGACTCTATGAGAAGAGAGGGAGGGAGGGAGGGGGGGTTAGGAGGGAGGGAGGTTGGGAGGGAGGGATGCCCTTCCATCCTGTCACAGAGGCCAACATTGGGTAGGTATGTGACCTTCTATATTTGAAGGACAGAGGACAGGAGAGGCTGGGGCTGGGCCTAGAGCCCAAGGAATGGGGAGAGAGATTGGGCTAAAGGCTTCACAATGAGCGTACTTGGATCCCCAGGTAAAGGGGGTTTGACTTATGATAGTTTGACTTATAATGATATTTTTCACTTTCAGAATAGCATTCAGTGAATAACCCAGGGCATGCAATACTTCAGTATAAAACAATGTTTGTTTGCCAGGCATGATGGCTCACATCTGTAATCTCAGCTACTTAGGAAGCAGAGGTAGGAGGATCGTGGTCCAAAGCAAACTCAGATCTTATCTGAAAAGTAACTAAAAGCACAAAGAGCCCAGGGTAGGACTCAAGTGGTAGAGCATTTGCCTAGAAAGTACAAGGCTCTGAGTTCAAGCTGCAGTGCCACCACAGACAGACAGGCAAACAAACAGACTCAGACAGACACAGACAGACAAGCTTTGTGTTAGAGGATTTTACCCAACAGGTAGGTGAAGGTCTGCCTGGGCTGGCTTGGAACTGAGATCCTCCAGATCTCAGCCTGTTGAATACCTAGGATTCCAGGCCTGCGTCACCAGAGCCGGCTTAAAGTTAATTTTTTTGATCAAGACAAATGACCCTGGCTTGAATATATAATTTTCCAGATGGAGTTTGTTTTAGGCACATTTTGGTAAGTACAATAGGCATGTTTTTTTCATTTGTTTGTTTAGGGGTTTTCTGTTTGTTTTTGTCAGTTGTGGGGATTGAACTCTGGGCCTGGGCACTGTCCCTGAGCTCCTCAGCCAAGGCTAGCGCTCTACCACTTTGAGCCATAGTACCACTTCCAGTTTTCTGGTGGTTCGTTGGAGATAAGAGTCTCACAGACTTTCTGCCCAGGCTGGCTTTGAATCACAATCCTCGGATCTCAGCCACCTGAGTAGCTAGGATTACAGGTGTGAGCTGTCGGCGCCCAGCTGATTTAAGACATTTAAGTAAAGACAAAAGTAAAGAGTAACGGAGGGGTGAATCTGATTGAGGTACATTATATGTCATTCTTAGTGCCAACCTGAGGCCTGGGGCCTGAGCCCTGCTGCTTCTCTCCCCACCCTTGCACACGGCCCGGCCTTTGCTCCTGGGACCTCAGGGTCTCTCTTTACCCAGAATTCCTCAGTGCACATCTGTTCCCAGGAAGCAGAAAAGCACCTGAGTGCAGTGCCTAGAGAAGGAACCCACCCACTGCCCTGACCCTCCCTCCCCAACAGACATCTGCTGGGGCACACGGCACCTTCGGATGGATAGAGGCAGGGAATCCGCAAACGCATCACCTTGCCACTTGTTTTGCTGGTAAGAGCATTTTTCATCGCTCTTTTGATATTTTTTCAAGAACACAGAGTAACTCTGTGTGTGTGTGTGTGTGTGTGTAAAACATTTAGGCAAATAGTCCAGAAGACAAAATTTTCAAGCCACAAATGTCACAACTTAGGGCCTGTGTGACCTCCCCGTGCTTCATTCGCGTCCATCCGCCCCCAGCTCCTCCTGCACAGGGGTCTCCAGCTCCTCCTGCACGGGGGTCTCATGGTCTCATGGAACGAAACTGTGTCACCTGCCAGTCTTCCTCCAGCACTCACAAGATTGTGTGAGCAACCGTAGATTGAGTTTAAGCCATGAGAGAGAGAGAGAAACCTTGTAGGTATAGTTAAGCCACAGATGATTTTGTCATGTCATATGAGAAAGAGAGAGAGAGAGAGAAAAGAGAGAGAGAGAGAGGACAGACAGAGGGAGAGGGAGAGAGGAAGAGAGAAGAGCTTGAGGAATCAGAGAGAGAGGGAGGGGGAGAAGAGTTTGAGGGGGGCGGGGTGGGGTTGTGGGGTGCTAAGGAGGGCAGCTGACAAGAAAGCCTGACACAAGATCTCCCTGGCTGATCTTCACAGGCTGCAGCAACAGTTCCAGAGCTGAGAATTTTCTCCAGAACTTTCCGCCTTCTGCACAATGGAGGACAGTATCCCTCTGCATGGGGAAAGTTCCCACAGTATCAGGATTGGACAGGAAAACCAGGCAGCTGTCCTTGGCACACGGGCAGCACAGAGTGGCCCGGGGCGAGTCTGACTGGGAACTCAAGAGGAGGAGGAAGAGGCTGTGGTTTCCATGTCCACCGGGGACACGGCTGGTGGCAATTATGTGAATGCACCTGGAGGCCGGGTTCAGCAATGGCATCCATGAGCTCTGACGAAGGGTGGTGTTGACTAGCACGAAAATAAGGAGCATTTGG